CACTTGCCAGACAGGTGCTTTTGCCGCTGAGCTAAATCCCCAGCCCCTGGTTTCTTTTTTGTAAATAAAGGTAACCACCTTATTCTTTGCTGTTGTGAAGGTAAAATAAAATGTGGGAGCCGTGCATGGTGGCACATGCCTATAATCCCAACACTTGGGAGGCTGAGGCAGGACGATCATTGTGAGTTTGAGGCCAGCCTTGGCTACAAAGTGAGTTTGGATTCAGCCTGCACTGCATGTCCAGAGCCTGTCTCAAAAAACAAAAAAATAAACAAAGAAATAGAACATAGCAATGTCTCCTGTGGGTGTCTGTACTCTGAGGAGCTTAAAACGTGTTAATAATCTTCATGTTCCTCTTTGTCCATCAGATGATCCTCTAAAGGTTCCACTTGGGGAAAGCCGACTGGGGACTGAACCCAGGTCCTTCACACTGAGCTACATCCCTAGTCCTTTATTAAAATTTTTGTTTTGAGACAGGGTCTCGATAAATCACAAAGTTGCCCACCCTAGGCTTAAACTTGAGATCCTCCTGCCTCAGCCTGCCAGAGCACTGTAATTACTTTTTAATCCACATATTGGGTTTTCTTCCCTTTTACCTTTTTATTACATATTCTTGTTTTCCACTTTATTCTCTGAAATGGTACCATAGTGGCCTAATGGTACATGCCTGTAATCCCAGCACTCTGGGAGGCTGAAGCAAGAGGAGCACCAGTTCAAACAGCCTGCGCTACTTAGTGACTTAGGGAACACAACAGGGAACAAATGAAGCTTATATTTTAGCTGGGGAAATGGGGATCAAAATGAGCCACTGCGGGATGCGTCAGCTGGGACAAGGGCTATGAGAAAGGAAGCTGCGTGGGGGGATGGAGGAAGCTGTCTGCGATGAGCTGGTGGGGGTGTTCAGAGGAGCTGGCATTTCAGCCCAGCCCTGCAGAGTGGAGCGTGGAAGTGAGCGAAGTGAGCGGCGGGGGCAGCCCCATGGGTGGGACAGTACACAGAGAGCCCAGAGGGGCTGTCTGCCCCGAGAGCACCCAGCGGGGAACTCCCAAGAGTAGCAACCCAGCGAGAACTGGCCGGCTTCTGTTTAGAATATCAGTGTAAGAGAGAAAGATGAAGAAAAGCAGTCTGGGCAAGGAGCTTCCCAAGGCTAGGCTGTCTTCCTGGGGGAAAGGGGAAGGGCAACGGCCAGACACAGCCTCCTTCGGGAGACTAAACATCCTGTTGTTTAACCATTCGGTCCTCACAGAGCCGAGTGCTTTTTTTTTATTATTTTTTTATTTTTTTTTATTTTAAGGATAAAAGGAGGGAAACATTAACAGACATACAACATTTTACAACATATCATAAGCACAATACAGACAATA